GTTGTAGCTAAAAGTGTGATGCGTAAAATATATATTTTTTAAATTTTTTACAATCAGTTGTTCAATAGATAACTTGGGTTGAAGAGGACGGCAAATTTAGCATTTCGCAACGCATGGAAAGAACTACATCGTACGATGGGACTGCTGAGTGGACTTTTAATTTACACTTCTAAGGACAAGAAAAATATGAATATACAAATCACCAGTTCATTCATATTATTTATAAAACATCTTTCTGTATTACCAGCTTACACTTTTCACTTATATTAATAAGAATACATCATAAACAGGGTGTTAAAAATAAGCGGGGAGATATTTTACCTAGTAATTCCTTGGGTCAAAATAAACAGAAAATGAAGGATACCGTAACATTTTTTCCAAAATCGTTTCGTTAACCAGGTATCCGCCATTTTGTATTTTTTACATACAAATATTTATCTTTACACTTTTCCAACCGATGTTAATGAAACTTGGTATGTATGTTAAGGTAGGAGAGACCCATGTTATTAAAAAAGATTCATCTCTATTAACCTTAAAATTTCAAAATTTAACACTTAACTACAATATAATATACTTTACTACACCACAATATTTACGTATCACCATATAAATCTTTAATAAAATAAAACGTTCACATTTTTAAAATCCAAAGTAAATCAATACAATCTTTCTATTTTGAAAAATATAGTAAAAAAATATGGCGATGTTAAAATAACGACAGGTGAGTTTCGATCTGGGTGTTTCAGGTTTGAACCTAGGAGGATTTAACATTAATTAACATTATAGTTTAATCCTCCTAGGTTTGAACTGATTGAGAGGAATACATGAAACCGAAGGGGGAGGGATCACAAGTGCATTAGTACTTACTTTGATGGATTTAACAAAAACCTTTTCTATTTCACTTATTTTCAGCTGTTTAATTTCAAACGATACGTTTTAGATACATCATTAACATGATTATCATCATCATCATCATCGTTTGAGTTTGGGTTTGCGGCAATGTATTTTTATGAATAAAACCTTTAACTTGATACCAAACTTGACCTCTGTTGCTATTAGTTGACTGTATGGACTATTAATTAACAGCTGTGGACAACCTTATACGAGTGTGAGTAAGTCCGAAAACAGAGTAAGTCCGAAAACAACTCTAAAAAACAATAAGCAATAAATTGCAAGAACCGTTGCTTATATCATTGTGTGTAAACCACATACAGTACACCTGTATTCTATCTATTTTACCTTTTATTTTTCCAAGACTTTATAGAAAATCACGCATTACGTGATCAGTGAAGAAAGGCTGTATCCCATGTGTTTTATAGGTAAAGAAGACAAGGGCGGTCCTAGACATATATTTTGGGGGGGTCACCGGGGGCCTGGGGGGTATGGAATACCCCCCAAAAAGGAGGGGGGTAATGGGGTTCCCCCCGGGGAAAATATATAAATAAATAAATATAGGCTATACAGGTGATCAACTCAAGGAAGCCACCATTGGGATATCGGAAACGGTAAGAATTAGAGAAAACTTAAAATGGGGGACATTCCTTTATTTTTTGTGGCAGTTAAAAATATGATTTTAGTTTCTTTTTTTTACTCAGCCGCCATTTTCCAAAATGGCGGCCAAATTTGAAATTTCTTATTTGACACCCTATATTTTATCATGTTTTCGGATAGAATAGGCAATTTAAAAACTTTTTTATCCTTGACATTTTTTCGATAAACCCACTCGTTTAGGAGTTACAGCCTATGGAAAAATGACTTCCGGTGTACATTTTACATCATGTAACTCCGAAACAAGTAAGTTTATAGCAAAAATGCGAAGAGTAAAAAAGTCTTACAATTGCATCCACATTCCACAAAAGACCATAAAATTCATTAAAAATATGAATTATATTATTTTAAAAATGGCGGCAAACTTGAAAAGTGGAAAACTTTGTATTTTATAGTCTTTAAGGAATGTAGATGCAATTCTAAGACGAATTTACTTTCTGCAATTTTGCTCTAAACTTACTCGTTTAGGAGCTACATGATGTAAAATGTACACCGGAAGTCATTTTTCCATAGGCTGTACTCCTAAACGAGTGGGTTTATCGAAAAAATGTCTAGGATAAAAAAGTTTTTAAATTGCATATTCTATCCGAAAACATGATAAAATACCCCCGCCGCAGCAAACCTGCAGACTAAGCGAATTTCCATTTGCCTGATTGGATTTACACTAAAATGTCTCCTTAAAAATATCGCATTTATTCCCTATTTAATAGAATCAGTTTAACACATACTTAGGTTTGCTGCAACAGGGGGGGGGGGTAAAAGTGTTTTTTTTATGTAAAATGTTAATAGTTAGTAAGAAATAAAAACATTTTCCAAATTTGGGCAAAATATGTTAATAAACAAGCAAACTACAACAGTTTACTTATTCTCCATAAGAATAACATGGGAATTTTAAATTTAAATTTGTTTGGAATTTTCTCCGTAATCATTAGGCGCATTATAACGCTTCAATATACTAAATTACTTGTTTTTTTAAGCTCTACAAAATAGTTTATAAAGAAATTGCAAAATTTTATGTTTTTTGGGTCAAAAATGGGAAAACCCCATTTTTACCCCATAAAAGCCCCCATAAACCCCCGTTCCCATGGTCCGATCATGCTGGTTCGCGAACTCGTTCGAATAAACGTAGGTTTACACGTTTGTACCAAATTTCATCGAAATCGGATAATTTTTGCTCGAGTTATCGCGCTAACGGACACATATATAAATAAATATATATATATAAATAAATATATATATATATATATAAGTATATATATATATATAAATATATATATATATATGAATTTGAACGGATGGTATTTTTGGCCTCTAGGGACCTCAAAACGAAAAAAAAAAATTGGTCCCGGGTCCAGGTCTTACCATGAGTTCTACGGTAATAGCTTATTCCCTATATGGGAAATTCGCTAAAAACTAAAATCATATTTTTAACTGCCACAAAAAATAAAGGAATGTCCCCCATTTAAAGGTTTCTCTAATTCTTACCGTTTCCGATTTCCCAATGGTGGCCTCCTTGAGTCGATCACCCTGTATATATGAATTTGAACGGATGGTGTTTTTGGCCTCTAGGGACCTCAAAACTAAAAATTAAATCGGTCCCGGGTCCAGGTGTTTAGTAGCTTATTCCCTATATGGAAAATTCACCAAAAACCTAATAGTTATATAGAACAATATTACATTCAACCAGCTGTTGGTTAAAACAAATTATATGGGACTAAAACAAATCAATGATTACAAAGATTCCTTTAAAAATTAATTTGAACATCCTACTAGTTTACTATGCATATTTAATTAATCTGCCATCCTCATACCTAAGAATTGAATGTATCAATGGTCAGCATTACACATAGTATAAATAAGTCAACTCTAAATATGTCTTTAAATTTGTGTCACATATGCTGAATGTTTACAGCTGTTATGTTAAGCAAATTATATTGAACTAAAAGCTAGCTTAGAAGGTTAGCGTCGGCTGCTAGACTTTAAAAAAATTAAAACTTAATTTCTAAAAAAACTGGTACCCTTAATTATAATTATGGCTTTGACATTCCCTGGTTCTCAAAATTATCTTTCTTTCAACACAAAAATAATAAAAATCCGTCGACTGGTTGATTCAGAATGTGAAAAAACCCCATTTACGTTTTAATAATATATATGATAGTTTGGACAGGTTTCAACCCTTCCGAGGCGTAATACGTTTACACAGTTTATGTGTAGACTACATTATAACTCATAAAATAGTTCTAAAATTAAATGGATCTCCTTTTACAAACGTATATAATAACCAGAAATTTTCAAATCGCCCTTGCATGTATTTCATGCCACAAATTTTGACGAAAGGCTTTTTATTACATAAACTATACCTATTTACAGTGTTGACCAAACAGTTGGCAAGAAGCATTAATAGATAAGCTATGTACCAAATATGATAATTTTAGCTTTATTCTAATTATGACAAAACACGAAGTAACTAAAAGCGAGTTTTGTTGGTGTAGTAAGCGTTGCAGGAGGTCTACTTTATACTGAATCGACGTTCACTTTTATTGCTTTTGATCTTCCGGCACTTTTGACTCAGCGAAACTGAACTTGTATTTTACCGTATTTCTTTATATTAAAACTGCTGTTGCATTAGGTCAAATTCCCAATAAGTCAATTGCTTTATCATAGACCACGTTTTTAGCTCGGGCTGTACTATTTGACTTACTGGGAATTTTGATCTACAGACACTGCAAACATTGTAGTTTTTGACCTAGCGGCACAGGTATAAATTATTTGATCTTCCGGGACTGTTGACTTTCAGCAACATTCCCATATTAAAACTGCTGTTGCATTAGGTCAAATTCCCAATAAGTCAATTGCTTTATCATAGACCACGTTTTTAGCTCGGACTGTACTATTTGACTTACTGGGAATTTTGATCTACAGACACTGCAAACATTGTAGTTTTTGACCTAGCGGCACAGGTATAAATTATTTGATCTTCCGGGACTGTTGACTTTCAGCAACATTCCCTAATTAAACAGGTTTTTATAAAGTATATAGCCTAAAATACTTCGGTTTGATAAGTAATAAATAATAAAAATATAAAACTCCCATAGTGCGTAACGTTTTTTTCGTAAATTTTAAGGAGTAATATGTGTGTAACCCCTGCCAATAAGCAAAACCGCTACCTATGGAACAAATTAAGGCCATTCATGTGAGAAATGAAGATACTTTAGCTATTTTTAGGGTTTGAACAGTTATATCGTAGACAAATAGGATAAATATCCTATTTGTATATGGTCATATCTTAAAACGTTTGTTTCTTCATTAAAAATGACACTTCTGTAGAAACTAAATATATAATTAAGAGTTTTACACCATATCACTGATTTTTTACATGGATTGCTGACATTTTTTACCCCAAAGCTTAATAGCAGACATTCTAGGATACTTAGCAATCAAAGCACTTTTTACATACGTACAAAAATATATTTACAAGATAAATATTACAGTAATATCGGCGTGTCTGTCTCAGTAGCGCTAGTAGTGGTGGCCATAGTGTGAGGGGTGGTGTGCGTGGCCAGTCTTCTTGACTACGGCATTGAACCCGTTGTGCTTGTCTGACGTGTAGTGAACTTCCCTCAGAGTGCCGTCGGGCTCGGCGACCTAGAGAAATACAAATGATCAAATGCTTCATAACGTCATAAGGTTGTCCTAAATATATACAGGTATAAGTGGCTGTAAGTGATGAGTAGTATTTGTGAGCATGAATTCAACAACTTGTGTCTACCCAATTTCTGAGCACATAGGCTATTGCACAAAATTTCTGAAGCAAGGCAAAATAATTGGGTATGAACCGGAATACTTTTGTTGAAAATCTAACAATACACAATTAAACTTTCTAGGAAATTAAATCTAGACCACTAAGGTATGATCATTTTACGTGCTACCAAAAAATATTACTAAGAAATGTTAGAGAACATATTATTCACCCTACTTGACTGAATATCACAATAACTGAAAATCCCTCTAGTACCAAGGAACGTAGTTCTAGTTGTGCCCATAAGTTGTATGCTTTTATGAATAATTACCATGGTCAATGAGCAGTCAAAGCTCTAGATGTTGAAGAGTTAAATTTTAAACACCAAACTCGAATTCAAAATTCAAACTTGACGTTATTTCAACTCAATTAGACCTAATACCAATAGTTAATTTGATTACAAGTTAATTATAAAATTGATAAGAAAAGCAACGGATCTATGACTTCACCTTGTAGAATCCCTTGACCACGTCACCATCCCTGGTCTCATGTTGACTCTTGTAGTCGCCAGTGTGAGGGTCGTGGACGTCGTACTCGAACCCGTACTTGGGATAGGCCTGGAAAAACATGTTATTAGTGTTGTGTTGGTTATTTGAGACATACTCCATCAATAGAAATTTCACGACGTTTCGGGATCTGAAACCTGACCCCGTCTTCAGATGCGAAAGATATTAACATCACAAGATGAAAAAAATCAATCATTACCGGGAACTTTATGACCGAAACAACTGTTAGAGGTGGTGCAATTTAAGACGGCAAACGAGATAAATTGGGGAAAATATAAAATGTTGATAAATACATGATTGGTTTTATCTATGTAGTCCGAGGACGCGATCTTAGTGTTGCCACAACAACTACAAAGCCTCACAAAATGTTGCTTAAAACCATTACATACAACAGTAAAAACAGAGTTTTCCACAGATTATAGATTTTAAAAATGCGCTCATTGAATGGGCACACAATTGATTGCCTACATTATCTATTCCAATTGTTTTATTGCCAAAAATGAACCCACAAGAACTTGTCATATTTAAATTCCTACTCATCGTCACACAAAAAACGTTAATAATGAGAGTAATTTTTCTACAATTGAAATATTGTTTTCCTACAGTCACCTGACAAAGTTGGCTTCCTTGTACTGTTTATAGTACAGAAAGCTGCTAATTGCTGCATATTTATACTTTGCCGTACGGTTTATACTTTGCCGTACGGTTTATACTTTGCCGCACATCAGGATTCCAACGAAACAACACAAAATAGCGTGGTTCTATTATGCACGTAATCCGTGTACGCTTGGAAATAGGTTGGCAACACTTTAAAAATAATAATACTATGAGCAGCTGATTGACTATTATAACTACGATTTAACCTGTCCTTTCGTGTTTATAGTTACGGTATTTCTGAACTTTCTGGACTTTTCTTTTAAACGTTTTTAAAATATTCCTACGATCTTAACAAACAAGAAAATACCTTTAAACCATTTTTTTAAGGCGCGGAAACCACTTCAAATTACAAAAACATACGGAACTATATTCTCAAAACGCGGAGCATATTTCTTGCCGAGGAAAAATAGCGGAGTGATACGGACCGCGGGTACTACTTTCTCTAGGGCACTATTTGGTTGCCAGCTAAACCTAAAAACGTGTTGTATAGTGTTTGAAAGACTAATTATTTATATGCTTTATAGTGTCTGTAGGAAAAATATAATGTGTAACACGAGTGAAAAAGGCCTTTGCTGCACTCGAGATCATTCCGCACTCGCCTGCGGCTCGTGCGTAAACATTGCTCTCGTGTGCAGCAAAGTGCCACTTTCACCACTAGTTACACAAATAACTATTGTTCATGTCTAAATGATTCTGATTTATTTAGTATCAATATAAGTAAACAATAACTAGATTAATTCAAACAAAAAAAACATTAGACTTTTTCTGAATGGATTATGTATTGGAAATGTTATGGATGGGTTACTGGGTACTTAAATTTTACTAAATATAATTTATAATTATAATACTACCAATTAAGATGGGGTGCGAATCTGGGCGTATTGTAACCCAAAAAATGAATGGTGTGTATAGAATGAATGTAAAATTATGATAAGCGCTCAACTAAGCAAATCTTAGTCCAGTTTTTAAACTAAAAGGTTTTTGACTTTTCCAGGCTCGAAGTGGAAACCTTTTGATTGTTACTTCCTACTCATATATCTAGCAATAACCCATACTGAAACTAATCAACTTAAATACTGTTCAAGGAATTTAAAAATATAATTTCTTTAACAACAATGATATAAACTAACACATTGAGCTGAACAAGTTTCACATAATACTCACATAATAGTCTACATGTCCGTGGTCGTAGCCTCCGTGTCCACCATAGCCACCCCCATAACTCCCGTGACCCCCATGACCCCCATAGCTGGAGACGGCACCATAGCCACCACCATGACCGCCGTAGTATTGGGCTGAGGCTGAGGCAACCAGGGCCAGGGCAAGGGACAGGCAGGTCTGAGAACATAAGTTGGCAAATTTACATAGTAAATTGTACTACCACGAATTATTTGAAAGATCATTTTTCAAACTATATAAAATCAGTCCTAAATTTTCAACCAATGTTGAATGATTTTCTTTATGGATAGAGTTTAAAGTAAGGTAGTTTCTACAGTTTAAAAAAGGATGGTCAACATGCGGTGATAAAGGCACTATAATATTAAACTGAAGGGATTTTTGGCCCAAAGATTCTGAATCAACCCCTTGAAGAACTTATATACGATTCTTCTTTCAAAGGATAAGTTTGATTTGAAGGAAATGTCGAAGCTATTTTAATTTTGGGATCCTGTTTAAGAGAAATTTAGTAAAAATTTTCCGTTTATCATATTTGAAATTAGTTTTTGGTACAGTACAATATTTGTAAAATAGAACTGGACAGGCCATTACTATGTCAAAGTGGTGTAAAATATTAAATACCGTATACTTTTTTTAAACGGTAGTAGCCTTATTAAAGTGCTTCGGGGGTGGTTTCAAATCAAATATAAAACAAAGTAATATTTAGGAAACTAGGAATTAAAATTACATTTAAATATTGTTGTAACACTAAAGAGTAGTCCAGGTTAAATTGTAATAACACTTTTTTCTCGTTCTAGAAATCATTGTATTTGAAACCATTTACTTAAATAATTTATTTGGTTCTTTAGACGACAGGAACGTACAAACAAAACACACTATTGTATTTGTCGCCTACTGGTGGTCTATGAATAATTATAGTTTAACGTACACATAATGGTCTATAAATTGATACATTTAACCGTTAGTACCTCATCAAAATTAAAACTTGAATAAAACTAACTTTGGTTAATGTTTGTTACGAAAGTGTTATTTAGTTATTTAAATCAGTTAGTGGTATACCATTTTTTATTTAATTGTTTATATTTTTCCAAATGAAGTATATAAATACTGTACATAAGTTACATTGATTTCAGAACAATAGCTATTGCAGTAAAAATTTTCAAGCAATTTATGAGTTGCTGTTTTTACTTTACATAGTGTATTGTTTGTTAGTTAAAATACTCTAGTGTCAAAGTGTGACTTTAATTATTCAAGTCTTTAAGTTTATCGTAGTTTTCATTTCAGTATCGGGGGCGAGCCTAGGCCTACAGTTTTTCTAGTTTTAAAACTACAACAAATTTAAATATTTCCTATTAATAAAATTATATTATTTCTCAATCAGTTTTATCGGTTTGTTATATCTGAAAAACATAGTGTAGCCTATACACTTACATGTCTATATTTACATTTTTTTATGTAAACATAGATATAAGTTCATGTATAGTATAAAGAGCACACATAATTTTAGTTTACTCTACAAGATTAAATTAAACAACTATGTATAATTTAAAATTTATTGTTTAAATTCACCATAGACTACTTCTACTACATCTCTGGTAAAAAATAAAGATTTATCTTTAATTCATACGAACAATAGTAATCGTATTTGGAAGTAAACAGCTCTAAGGAAAATATGCTAAAATGACTAATAGGAGCCAACGCACCTGGAAAATTCATACGAACAATAGTAATCGTATTTGGAAGTAAAACTCTAAGGAAAAATATGCTAAAATAACTAATGGGAGTCAGCTCACCTGGAAGGAGATCATGTTGAAGTGTATGGAGCCAAGGAGAACTGTGCTTTTATATCGGCTGCCTTCTGTTACAATGTTACATCATTGGCTGACCACGCGGGGACGTACGGCCTCGATCGCCAAGGGAGACCTAGGCCACCCTAGCACCCTAGGACCGTAGGAGGTTCTTGAATATTTTATTTTGCTTATCTATATTATTAAATAGTATATTACGTTACTAGTCCTGAAAATTAATGTTTACCGGACGAGTGTGGTCGTTCCCGTGCGAGACGAAGTCGAGTACGGGATTACCATACGAGTCCGGTACACACATTTTGGACGAGTTACGTACGATAGTTTACGCCATACTACTAAATCCGTACAAATCCTTATATATTTCCACCAACTAAAGGACTAAAAATCACTAGTCATAACCTCTAAGAGAGGTTATGTTTTTGTTTATAACCACTCACTGCCACCTAAATACAGTATAATCAGCTGATTGGTGTCCGGCAAAACTCATTGCAGCACAGTAGTACGCAATGAAACCCCATTTGAATAATGCGCTGATTAATGAATAATAATAAGCTGGCGGCAAACAGCTGTTTTCTGGACTAAATCCTTGCGTGGGAAGTTCGTCAAAATAATGTAGTGTGGCGTAAAGTTTTTTTTATATTTGTGTGTGCAGCAAATTGAACCCTAAATATTTATTTTTATAGGCATATTTGGGATCAATTCACTTATCCTCTTGATGTGCTTTTCGCGGGTTTGGATGATATCCCGTGAAAGTTCTTCGTCCTATAGGCTTTTAAAATGCCACAGTTTGTGCTGAATTCTGTTGTCAATCACCTGAACTTTTTAAAGTTTTTAAAAAGTGTTTACATCAAGACATATGGCCATGATACAATTTTGTTTATATCCATTAAAATGGGGTTATCTGTAGTAGTTGGCGGTGTTTCAGTGAATGAAAGTGAAATTCTGTAATCTTACTAATATTATAAATGTGAAATTTTGTGTGTTTGTTTGTTTATTTGTTTGTTTGAAGTTCAATCACGCATTAATTACTGGACGGATTGGGCTGAAATTTGGCATGGTGATAGCTCACATTCCCGATTCCCGAACATATAGGCATAATCTTATCTGAAAAATCCTTTCGGACTCCGCCCCAGTGGCTCTAGAGTTTCCCATGTTAACCTTTAAAACCTTATGAGTACTCATATTTAAATGGAATTAAAGAATTTAGTCAGCTGTTTCAACTAAAAAGGTTGGTTCTATGATATGCAAAAGCATTAAAAGTTATAAGATTTACCAACAGGGTGCAGCACTATTTTTTTGCATTTATGAAAACAGGTAATTTGAACTAAACAGCAACAAAAAATTGTGATACGCAATGAGAACTGTCAAAGTAGGATGGTTTACAGTTATGTTTATGTTTTTAATTTCACGAATAATTTGTGATATTTTGTGAATCTAAATAATTTATTTTTTTCTTTTGTTTGGGTGAAGTGGTAGAACATTACGGCTATGGTAGATGTGTAATACTATAGTATAGGTACCGTAAATTTAAAGAAGTAAATTTTATCATACTGTGTCCTCCCCCATTGCAAACGCAAAGCTTGAGTATAACCGTACTAAGTATTTTATACTTATATGCCAATCCTGTACGAAGGACGGGTACTCTGCTAGTGTTATTAATATAAAATGTAAAGAAGAGAATGACTTACGTTAGATTTTGTGTTGTGAGAGGATTTTGTGTTTTCATATTATGTTTAATATTTTTATGTTTTAAACCATTCCATTAAATTGATGTTTTAGGGAATTCAAGTAAAATATTGTAATGCTATTTGTTTAAAATGTAAAGAAGAAATTACTTACGTTAGAATTTTGTGGTTTCATTGTATGTTTCATTAGTATTTGTAATTTTTCTAAGATGCCCCGAAGAGATCGCGCACGCAATGAAAATAATCGGGCACGCAATGCGATTAATTTGTGTTTAATTGATGAAACATAATCGTTTGTTCATCCTTTTCAACTATATATAAAATATATCACGGATTTTGAAGTCACGAAGTAACGCAGGTTGCTATATTATGCTAGTTTATTTTCCTGTGCTTCGCAACGCCGTGAAGATACACAAAAGAATAATGAGACTATTTAAATATACTGTAAACCAGATACACACCCATGATGATTATAGAGGCAAAACTCAATTGTATTGCTTGTTTTAATGAATACATCTTTGGTTTATGTATTCGCTAACGTATGTGTGGTAGAATGTGTGGTAAAGAGCATTTTAATAGAGTCAAAATTGGCCTCCGATACATAACGAATGCATTACCCTTTTACCCTTTACCGATTACTTCGTAGCTGAAAAAGTTAACATTCAAGGAAAAAATACATATCTTTCCTTAAGATAGATATTAGAAAAATAAAATTAAAAACTTACAATAATTAAATCATCTTTATTGTAGATATATACTATAAAGAGTGGGTGACTTACCCCAATAAAGTTACAATGATAAATAAAAGTGGCATATTTAAAATTTATTTCATAAACAGTTTCGTCTATTCTTTACTGACTGAAGTAATAAACTAAACTGAAGGTGATGTGTTGTTAAATTACAATTTACTTTTAAAATAGAAATAAAGAAAGCAATTCAACAGCGCTCGACCTTTTAAAGCGCAATTTATAAATCAATCAAAGGCCACTGGGATGAAGTTCTGATGGGGAATACCCTTTTAACAACCATTCTTACTTGCGCTAGATCATAAGCATTAAAATAAGACCCCAATAGTAAAAATCGGATTGGTAGGACGGGCGAAAAAGAGGTGGTACATAGCCATTACTGTATTTCGTTGGTTATATGGATAATTTCATTAAAATGTAAACATAAAATTCAAAGGTTTGACTCAGGATAAGTAAATAATTATAAACAAATGCAAATGTCAGCTAGCGCATTTATTCAATATTATTTGAATGTTTGATTAAATACAAAATTTAAATTAGGGTTCGTGCCCTCAGGGAAGGGATTATAGAAAAATTACGATTATCTCGTACTGGTAATTCCTCATAATGACCTTTCATGTATGTGATTGATACAGGCATAGATAAAACATAGATGTTACAGGGTTCTAAAAAAATCCCTTAAGCACACCTTAGCCAATTTGTAAATAATAAACTGCCAGATTTGCAAACTTTTTTTCACTCTAATCTCTTTTTCTCAGAAACATGATTATGTTTCTTATCATGTTGTATTGTTTCATAACATGTTTTATTAAAATTAAACAAACAGTTGTCCTATGAACCATTGTAAGAGCGAGTCCTCATCTAATATTAATGTTTTCATTTCACAATATTACCTCTTTGGCTCGTCGAACAATTTCTATCTCTTATGTCCATTACTGGGTAAAAATAATTCCACACTAAACACTGGTCCTTCGAGCTGGATTCTGAATACAGTAGAACTCAATTATCCGAACTCCAACCATCCGAATAGCCGATTATCCGAATTACTTACAGAAATAATTTGCATTACTCTCTTTTCGGATTACTGTATCAACAGACCTTAGATTTCATCGTTTGAATTCCAAATTTTAAATTTCCAATTTTCAATTTGATCTTGTTAAAATCATTACTATTCATTAACACACACAAACTATTTCTCCCTTATTTCTTTTAGTTTATTCCCTTTTACTTCATGTTGGAACGAGGGTAAAAATGATGAAAATAGGCCATACTGACAGATAAATAGATAACTTTAACAAAAGGTAAATTGATCGACAATCAACTAATTGTTCAAAAGCGGTTAGGGTTTTGAGATACAGACAAAGCAAGATTTTACAGTAGCGCCCCTTATTAAGTCATGAGAATTGAGTACGCTATAGTTACCGTCGAGTGTGTCTGAGGTAACGCACTGGTATACAACCATTGACTATATAACACACAACACCGCGTTAAAATCACTCGTAAAACCAAACAACTACCACTTACAGAACTGGAATCGGTTTTCGAGGAAACTTTATTTCGTCAACTCCAAAAATGGACAGCTGAGGGATATTGTTTCGTCCGATGCCTTGCAGATGGTAAACTAGGTTGGTGAAGGTGACATTGTGGGGTTTGAGTCAATATAAAGTTTTCGTACAAAAAACTGTCGTGTATTTTAATTTTGGTAAAGAATGTTTCATTTATGTGATAACTATTTTAAAGGGACAATATCCGTTGTATTGGTTCAAAACAAATTTAAAAATAAATTTTTAAATGTATTATTAATCAATCGTTAAATTCTGAGATGAGCTCAAAATTTAACATTTTTGTAAAAAATGGAAAATAATTTTTATTTTGTTTGCTTTTGTGTTTTAATTAAATCTCACTAACAAGTTTTATAAACTCGGCGAGGTCAAGCTGTTGAATCCAAAATAAATATATTGGAGTTTTTATATTTGAACCTCTTTTTAGGTTACATTTTGTCACATTACAAGCAATTGTAAACTTTTTTACCATCCATTACAAGTGTAAAACCAATTTATTGTGTTATCAAGATGTTAAAAAAGTTACAAAGACATTTTTGTTTGCTGCTGCACTGGTACCCACAATGTTTTGGGACATTACCATTTTATAAACCAAACCATAACTAACCGTGGGTATTATAATCGTGGTTATAAATTTCGTTTTCATATGTATATTTTAATCTTAATGAGAAAGAGCTAGGCTAAAAGCAATTAATCAAACGAAAATGCCAAAAAGGGATTTGTTGTTTAGTGTATTATTTCCTGGTGACAAGCCTTCCGGGTGGTTTTCGCACCCTACTTCTAAAACATCTTTGAATTTGTATTTATAAAGTTGTTTAAACAAACAGTATTTGGGAGTCGGTGGCTCAGTCGGTAGCGCTACGGACTTTTGGATCAAAGTAGTCGTAGGTTCGGGTATGGTACAATACAGTTCGCTCTTGTACTGTATCGGCTCATCCACATTTGCTGGATACGTTCAACACACTGGCCCGAGGTCTATGTGGACAGACAAATGCAAGGTTGAAAATAAACCATTTGTAGACCTGCAACGGACATTCGTATTTTAGATAAGAATGAAAGTTTGAATTTACAAACACGTATAGTCACACCATATTATCCTCTCCTTAAAATCAAGCTTTGTCACAATGACAATGCTTGGAGTTTTTAGAAAGTGCAAGGATCTTCCGCAAAAGACACTACAAAATGTTTATTTTGTACCCTCTTCATTTTTTCATAATCCTAGAATTTCTTTTATTAGTTAGAAAAAGTAAAGTTAATGAAGGGAAATGCAGGCCTTGGCCAGTAAATAGAGCGCAGACGGCGTGATTTGAAGGTTAAATTGGGCAAACTGCTAAAAAGCGTTCCAATAAAGAAAGTGAGGTCGGACAATAATAGCCAAGTGATCGGTGCTGAACCTGGACATTGTAGCATATTGTTGTGGGTCGACATCGTGTGCTGAATACCGAGAGAATTGGACCAACTTAAACCTAACTACATAACTTAGCAAATTTGATTAAATAGATGTTTTGATAACTTACCTGGAAAATGATGGGAAACGGACTTTCGGCCTGCGCTGCCCCTGACTCGGCCTGGGCTGCCCATATTATGTGGTGTAAAGGGTAGGTTTCTCGGGAGTAGGTACCTGACCTGAGCTTGCGCTTTACCCACTAAATCCCAGGAATCTCCCGGAAATACCTGTGGGGTGGTGGACAGGGTCGTCGACACAGGAAACAGGGCAAATAGCGTTGGAGCCAACCTTCTAGGAAATGCATTACTATTGTATTAGAATACTGCTGTAATCTTTGGCATTAACGACTCAGGAAGTGATGGTGTCTACGGGTGGTGGATATCCGCCCCAAATAAACCTATTTTTGTTTCAAAATTTTAGATTCAAAAATACGCAAATTCTTACTACATATAATAAATCGTTTATGCTTCTTTTAATACTGTATATGATAGTGGTTTTTAGTACTGTATTATGACAAATTTAAATGTAAAATACTTGCAGTTATTTTAACTTGAATTCATTATTTCTTAGGCCGCGAACTCTAAATATGTAACAGATGTTCGTGTACAGTAGTTAAACAATAAAAAATGGTGCATTTCATCACTAGAGGGTACCTATTTAACGGTACTGTATTACGAAACATTTATATGTAAAATACTTGTAGTAATTTGAACTTGAATTCTTTATTTCGTTGGCCGCGAACACTAAATATAAAAGTAACAGATGTTTGTGTAAGGTAGTAAAACAATACAAAATAGTGCATTTCATCACTAGAAGGTGTCCATTTAACTTTACTGTATTACGAAACCTTTAAATGCAAAATACTTGTAGTAATTTTAACTTGAATTCTTTATTTCGTTGGCTGCGTACGCTAAATTTTGGACGTAAAAGTTTAATTTTGATACTTACTTGTTCTGTGTTATTTCACCTAATAACAACAGTACATTTAATTCCATCCAACATAATTTTTGTTGGAAATGCACAATGTTGAATTGTGTGTTCCAATTATTAAATTGCAAATTACATTAATTAATTGTTGAATGAAATGCATAGGGGCATTTAATTCCATCCAACTGAATTTTCTGATTTTGTATATAACAAATTGTAAATTTCTTTTACTGATTGTAAATATCTACATCACTAGAAGCCTTTTTGTAGTAATTGATCATTTAAACACTGCAGTTACAAGTTTAATTTTAATATTTTGTTGTACCAATACACCAGACTGTTAATTAATATATAGGATTATATTTTAAACGCATTTTTATAACATACTTGTCTCTTGTTACATTGGTTTAGTTTTTAATTTCGTATTATATACTTAGTGTTTATTTGGTTTTTACATAACAAATTGTTATTTACTTTCACTTTGTATTTGCTTGTAAATAGGACACTACCAGAAGTTTTTTTAGGTAAACATTATTTTAAACACTGTAGTTTTTTGTTTACCTTACACCAGACTGTAATTTAATTAAAGTAGGCCTATAATTATTTTTATACTACGTCTCTTGTTTAAATTATCTGAATGAATGTACTACGAATGTACATTCAGCTGTTAAACTACAATTCACACTTTAAACTGAAACAAGAGGTTCTACCCGTGAATTCACGGGTGAACAGAAACCACCATTAGTTCGAGAAATTTTCATGCGAAAGGATGTTAAAGGCAGTGGAACCTTCATACCTTACGTCCTAAGGTTGGCCGAGGTTGTACCTGAACACGCCGCTCTCTTTCACGACATCTTTAATACTTTTCAATGAAATTGCGACCTGTTAAAGATCGGTGACAACCTCTTGGAACGAACAACATAAATGGTTTGTTAATCTCATAGTCATCATGGTTCGAACACCTTTAGTTACTCACTTGTAACAAACAGCTATAAATAGCTTCACTGTCCATTCACCGCGACTCTTTTAAGAACGTAAAAGTAAATAATAAAATAAGTAAACAAAAATGTAAACAAACAAACTATATTGTCGATTGCATTGGCCAGCTGTTGTTCACTAAATTAATCAAATAATAACTTCCAAAACATGCAAGGCGTAGCCTTTTGAAAATCAGCCTGTGGGGCAGAGCCCTTAGGGAGTTCGTCCATATCAATACTTTTCGGCAAAATCTACACACTCTAAGCTTCATTTTGATATGCCATATGCCTATATTTTTATTTGGTAAATGGCCTTAACCGTTTACATAAATTTTTTTTTTTTTTTTTTTTTTTAAAGAGGTTGGCGGCCTCTTTTAACCTTGCATTTGCCCGTCCACATAGACTAAGCGCCCGTGCGTGGATCGTTTACAGCAAAGCAAGGAGTGAGCCGGTACAGTACAAAGGTGAACTGTACTGATAAAATGTTATCGGCAGTGACCAGGATCCGAACCCACGACATTGCTGCCTTGGGCCCGAAGTCCGCGACGCTACCGACTGAGCCACCGACTCACAAATTTGATTGTATCACTGTAATAATATAATCTAACAAAAAACCACTAAGTGGTAACACTTCCCCCGCCAAGTCAGCAACCCAAAAAAGACAATAAATCACCACTTTTCCGCCAAGTAAAACAATGTAATGTATGTAAGTTTGGCAACTTGGCGGCAGACTTTTGCTTGTTTTTTTTTTCATTAAAGTTACGTTGGTGGATAATTTCACAAATCAACTTCTCTAATTAATTAGTCCAACTAAGTATAATAATTTCGAGGTAATCAGTAGATATAAAACAATCACTATTATGATTTTATGAAATGTGACACAAATAAGGTATAATTTTGTAAAATAAGCTCTCATCTAGCAATGTACTATTGGGAGAGATACTTGCTCAATCGAACTAATTTTATGGTATTTTTTAAAGTGATCAAGCAAAAGTCTGCCGCCAAGTGGCCAAACTTACATACATTACATTGTTTTACTTGGCGGAAAAGTGGTGATTTATTGTCTTTTTTGGGTTGCTGACTTGGCGGGGGAAGTGTTACCACTTAGTGGTTTTTTGTTAGATTGTATTTATTTTTGTAGAAAATTAACAGTTAAAATAAAAATCCTCTTTTCTCTTATATATAGACCAGGGCACAACTACACATAAAATGCATTGGTGTTACATAAGTGTTCCGATAATTAAACCCGTATATCTAAAGACTAGTGTAAATTGAGCCCTTATTAGAGAAGTAAAAATGTAATCAAACAGATTAGGTTTGTTAGAAATAGCATAAGGCAAAACAAATATTGAAAAACTCATTTTTATCCTAAATTTACATATCACTTTTTACATTCACTTTTTTGCTTGTTTAACATACGTAGACGGATTTTCCCAATTGTTTTATTTGTTTTAGTGTATCAAAACATAAAACTAACCTTATTTAGTTAAATAAATTTTGGCAATATTATGAAGAAACAATGTTAAAACTAACCTTAGTACTAGTACTAAGTTTCAAGTTCCTAGGTTTCATATGTTTTGATAAGTAGTATTAAACTGTTAAAAATGACGAGCTGCTGTACCAGTGTACCATCGGTACACTACATTTTTCAATGGAAAGTATCGGGGAATATCACTGCTCTAAGTAATTTTATATAGTAAGTAGCTCAAATCATTCGGTATACCTGAAAAAAATCTATACTATTATATAAAAATCTAATGGTGTCTGTATGCGTATTACTAATAGGTGCAAAAACTACTGAACCAACTAAGCTTAAATTTTACAAAAATATAGCTAACATACCAAGGACCATTATAGGACTATTCACATTTCGATACTGACCGTAGGCTTTGCCCCTTTGGCTTTTACAGTTCTGAGGTGAGGATTTTAAAAGTAAATATTGATTGGTCTCCATGACTGTGATCAGAACATTAACAATGTTTGTTTACCTTTGCTTTGACATTTAAATGTAAACAAGAAGAACTGCTAAACTGCATACATTTAACAATTTCAGACAGCTGATACAAAGAAATTAAATATAATATTTTCCATAACTATGAGGTAGGTTTATTTTAATCTAACCTTTTATCATGGATTATTTATTCTTAAACTGTCAATGATTATAGAAAAAAAATTCTATAACCGTTGCTGTATCAACTCCGGCTCTGCTTTGGATTTTTCGTCTCAGTTATGAAAATAATGTTATTGATATGTTTTCATGGAAACAGTATGAAAATTACAATCCCTATAGATGTTTTGTATAAATTTGGAGGCTATTTTAAATAAATTTGAACTGCTTAACATGTGTTAGATTAACTTAACATAACTTGCACATCACATTGTTTTTTATATGTAGGTATATTTAGGTAAATTTAGTTATTGTGTTTTGCTAAAACTATGCTTAAATTAAACTAAAGAATATCATCAATAACAAAATTGTACGTCATTGATTTTGTGTTCTAAAATCTGTTGTATATGTGTAACTATATTAAATTATCAAATGGTAATACAAAATACTCTTATTTATCTTAACATAGCTTTCAGTTCACATTTACTTTATTTGATAAATCTATTATTTGTGTTTTGCCACACCACTGATTAAATTAAACCAAGGAAAATATCATAAAACTAAGCAGTACACAGTGTTCTTTTGTTTATAAAATCAATAAAATATCTGTTACTACGTTTACTTAATGGTAAGTGTGAAAATTTAAAGGCAATGGATGATGGAACTGATTAAAAGAACTGGTTTGTAAGTTGTTTGTTGATATTTTTGTAGAGTAGAATCAGAGATGCAATGAAACATATACTGTATTTGCTATTACATTTTTAGTCCTCGACGCTTTGATAATCATATTAGTTTTGTCTGCTGTCTTTAGTGCTAAATTATTTGTTTAACATTTTTTATAGTATAGATATAGTTTCTTTAATATTTCAAAAGACTGTATTGATAAGGCACAAGAATATTTCTAAAGTTTATAACAGCTGACTTAGTTTGGCTGATGATTTATTGTGAGTGAAGAAACTGAAGATTGAAGGATTTGTTATTTAATATGAAGAAGAGTGAAATTAAAAAAAAAATGTCCATTTAAATTTAATAATAAGTATTTATGCAACTTCAAAATTGACATTTATAATGCCAATTATAAATAAAGAGATATGTAATTTAGGGAGATGAAGGTAAATCGTATGTGAAAGTTTAATTCGAAAATTTGGTCAGTTTTTCTCATATCAGCCTACACAAGATTTAAAATTAATCAAAACCAAAATGGTGGTATCCACTACTTACGAGATTTAAAAATCATAACTTAAACCTTTCTATTAAGGCCATGAAAGTTTAATTTTGTTTCTAAATGCTTTGGCGGATGTGTAATTATTATATGCAACAGATGTTAAGATTAAAATGTTTCTATTTTGTGTCCTCTTCCCGTTGCAAAGCACGGGTACAACAGCTAGTACTTTATAAAAGTTTTAAAATAATTTTTCAGCTGATCCTATGAATTTCTCTAACATTTTAAATTAATTGAGATTTAATCGCAGCTGATCCTTCTTTTGTTTTGATTTTAATCCAATGTTATTTAAATGGGCCAAAATCGTACTTTGAGGGCTTGCCAAGGGTTTATGGGTCAACGCACCGACTTGTGACCCTCAAAAGGCACATCTACACGCTAAGGGCTTTCAAACAACATAAAAAACATTAAAATTGAGCCAGTGGTTTGGGCTGTAGGTCCGTCAACATTTAAGGAGAAGAAGGAGAACACGGAAAATTTGTGAATTTTCAAACTAGTTTTTCTTGGCTCAAACACAACCTTTTTTTTAAATTCTTTTTTTATTTTGCCAAGAATGATTGCCCCTATCCAGTGGATGAACAATTATTTTAATAGCTTTTGTTTCTTCAGAGCTATAGACGAGTAAAAAAGCCACTTTGTCACGTCATGTATATATACACTGCAGCAGCTGTGTACCGCTGGGGGACTTGGCGGGGCGGAACGCTGCCGCGTTCCTTAATATACTGTTGTATGGATAATATTTTTGTACTATTGAGTGGATGGATTCTTGTAAACAAGCCTTGAAATCATATTAAGTGAGACTAATTCGTCAACGTTTATGATTTATGAAAGCTATAGTGACAATAGGCGGATGGTGGCCCCACCTTCTGCAGTAGCCTATCTATAAAAGCTATAATGTATATACAAAACTATAATATCTATAACTAATATTATTATGGTCAATTTATACATATCCACTGTTTTTGTATCTTGAACTGAGGTGACACATATGTCGTCAAATCGTCGTTAAAATTGGTTAAAAACTGTTTAAATATACAACTTTTAGAACGGTGTTTGTAACTAAACTAGCCCAAACTTAGATTTAAATCAATCTAATACCTGATCTTGCTCTGGAGTGCTCTGGGGCTCAGGTCCTTCTTGGAAGTACCGTACCTAATCCTATTCATATTTTGTGGCTAGCTTGCTGTGTCAAACACCCCATATCACCCCTTCCCTACTTCCCTCTTACCCACAAAATCTTTTCAATTTACCTATAGGGAATCTTTTGGGGACAGCAGACTCAGAGCTACCCACGTTCCCTATTGTTTGTTGCGGAGGGTAAGTTTCTCATAATCACCCCAGGCCGAAAGTCCTACACTCGAAAATGATGGTTAACTATGACACACAGAACACTTCACTCATCATTTAAAAATTCAGTCACACAAAAACATAGTTTTGTGGTGGAACATGAGACTATTTTATTCTGTTGCCTGATTCAACATTGATCGGTTGGTGATGGCACTCTTTTCCAGTCTGCCGTAAAAGTTACTCAACGATATTCACATCTAACGAATAAAATATATAAATACTACTACATTTTGTATTGTTATTGTTATCATTTGAGATGGGTACGCCACCTTTGTTTATATTTTACCCAAATATGAGTGAAGGGTAAGTGTAGGGAGTATGATACCATAGATAAATCATACGTGTTGCTTAGTCTATGATGATACCTTTTGTAGCTTTGTTACTGACTAAGATCAGCTGTTTCATGAGTCAGGACCATTTAAGCTAATGATCAAGGACATGGATCCAGTTTCGAACCATAAAAAATACACACTTTTTTAGGATCGGATCAAAGACCATTTGATTACTAGTTGAGCACTCAGCTCGACTAAAACATCACTGCCAAATTCACATGTTAAACTAATTCTCCAGCCAATAGTTACTAAGAGCATTTATTCACCCAATTATTCAAAATATACAATTGTTTCCAACAGCTCATTAAAGTTTGACGCTCAAAACTCCGTAGCCGTAGAGTACAGACCAGACGAACGACAACGCTGTGGCGTAGACGAGTAGAACGAACAAGAGCGAATCTCCTGGGCAGTAGAGCCCCAGGAAGCAACATTCTCCGTCCCCCATCAGCCAGGACTCCAGGGCTGACGGGAGTGTAGTGGACAGAAAGCACTCCAGGGGCTCCCAGAACAGCCGCAGCGCCATCTCGAAGATGAACATCGAGATGATGAACTCGTAGAAGAAATTGTATTTCTCCGGTAACCTGAAGCATTAAGTTGAGTTAGGCTATCAATTGAAACTGCAATGAAAAAGAATACATTTTAAAGAATGGTGCATCCAGAGTCCAGACTAGTCTGTATTTTGAGTACATTTTTGGGGAACGAACTGTTCTAGTGGTAAGCGAGGCTTCGGTCCTTGACGTCCCGGGTTCAAATACCGCCTATCACCAATGGACTATGATGATAACACAACGCTCTAGGTATAGGCCTAGATTGAAGTCACGTGAAAACTGTTTCGGGCTAGAGTTTTGTGATGTTTCAGTCCAGGGAGCTGAAATCCCACCGGACTGAGGATTTACTAAGACCATGTCCTCTTAGCATAGAGTCAAAAAGGTTTTGTCTGCACCCTTCTTGTTTATAAGGCTAATAAAACCCGACAAAGTAGAGTCCATACTCAAAGAGTAACTACCTAGTTTTTCTACTGTACTTGGTACGTAGGCCTATATGACACGTTCTAGCTTAGTAAAATCGTAAAATTGTAAGACATACATTTAAATACCTGTGTATACGTTACTTTTATTTTATTTTATGCGTTTAAACGTAGGTTTAATGCACGAGGGGTGGTAAGGGGGAGGGAATTTCCACGCATTTCCGTACACCTTCTTTTAGTTTCCATAAAACGTCCAAGTTACCTGATTAATGTGTACTTATTTGCAGATTGGGAGCATTAAAAACATATAAGTCGACATTTACTCCAGGAGCCGAAACTAAAAGGACCATGGTAGACTGCAACTATTGACTATGAACCCTTGGGTTTTTTTGTTCACCCTTTCATAGTTTTAAGCGCATTACGGATTCTTGGCTTTCTAAAGGTGAATGTCAGATTATTTTGTTATACATTTTCGCGAATTCTAATCACCAACAGAACGAGTTATTGTCAAATATTCTCCTCAAATGACTGCATTGTTTTAAAAAGCATATTCTGCATATTCTGAAATTACATACTAAAAAACCATGGATGATCAGCCTGGTGTATTCAACCCCCCCCCCCCCCCCCCGTTAATCTTACTAGACTAAGCCTACATTGAAGCTGAAAATACGTTTATTTGTGTTTATCTATTGGTGATTGCGTTTTGGTAAGGGAACGGTTCAAGCCCTTGTTGCTATCTAACGTTTTTGGTCAAATAGCACCATAAATTGGCAACCCAATGACAAACTGAATCAAGAGCCAGAATCAATATTACTTAGAATCAAACCAGTGAGCTTTGAAGGCAAGCACTACAACCACTCAGACAACTAATGTAACCTGCAACGGAAGATGTTGATATTGGTCGCCGAGACCCAAGCGAACACTGCAGTCAGGAAGAGTATAGAGGAGAGGGTAACACATCCGCAGCCCTCGACCTTCTCGTAGGACCTGGTGAAGATGTGAAATCCTGAGGACAACAGGAAAGCCGCTAGTATCACCGCTGTGGGGCACTCCGCCATCGCTGAACTATCAAACCAAATATTTGGAATTTAGAACGATATCGAAAATGTCAAGAGAGGGAGAGTAAATAAACAACACACAATTATCAGCTGGTTGAATGTTTTTTTTTGTTCTTGGGTACCGGAATAGGTTTTTAGGGAAACGTTTTTACTTGAACGCAATGATTTTGTTCTGTTGAAATAAATTTTCTGATCAGAGAATCATTGATTTTTACTTAAATATACAACATAACAATATTAACCAGTTATGGTAGCCACTTTTGTATATAGTTTTGGTAATGAAATTTGATTCGACATAAAACAAATCTGTGATTTATGAGAACCTGCCCTTCGAAAATGTGTTTAAAAAGTTTTCGCATAAGTTTTGACAGAAATCAATAACTTACATTACCCCACTCTGTCGGTTGCTCAAATAAAATTCCATTTTCTTTCTAAACTAGCTACAGCTTTAATATTAAAATGGGATGTCTTTTTACAATGGATTTTTGCAATTCTTCCTTAAAAAGGTTTATAAAACGCGTGGTCAATGAAATAACTTTTGTAGTGTTATTAAAACTAATATAAAAACGCAAAGTACAACTCAAACATTTTAAAGAACCTTCTTGTGGCATGGATCTTATTTTGAGGCCCAAGCCAAGAATGTGGAGATTTGTAGGTTATTGAATGATCCGAAATCCACCGATAAATTAATTAAATGCTTTATTGTTGTAAAATAATTTTCTCGATAGCCTTTAAGGTTCTTAATTTTAAGAAGAAGGTTAAACACACGCAATTTCATAATGCAGAATTAACATTCGAGTGAATTTTACAACTCTGTTGAAACGCACCACATTCTTTTTTTTTAACTGAACCATCAAAACGTCGACTCATACAACCAAGTCCTCAAATACCATTCACTGTTGACAACTCCACACATGTGAAATCACCACAGCGGTTGAAAGTGTGGCATGGCGCATTGGCCAACCTTTTTACCGGTATTTTGTAACGCGCAGCAATAAGGCCGGGCCATTACCAATATTAATTAGTAGTTTTTACCTCGGCCACGAACCTTGGTAGTTCACTATGGTAATTGATTGTCGTTCCGGTGCGCGGTGGTGCGCCACTGTCACACATCGCTGGCGCGGCTCGTGGAGTGGCGTTCCATCGTCACCCGTCACACTCCAATGCCACCTGGTGGCGTAAACCATGCATTACACTTATCGGCTCACATACTCCAAGTTTCCGCATTTCTTAAAGTTTGTTAATGAGTTTGTGGGTAGTTCTAGTTGTCTTTTTTGAAGATGAAGCAAGGATGTTGCATGAATTAGGTGACAGCTTTGTTAGCCTACTGAGTAAAATCAATTGACGCTTTGAACATTTAATAAAAAAACCGATGTACTATACTCCGTTCACAATATTTACACGGTTTTAGGGGAAGAAATCTTTCCTCGATCCTACCATTAAAACATAGCTCAACAGATGTGATTTGTCAAAACGTCAATCAGCTGCAACATACATAAAGCAGAAAAAAGTGGTGAGGGAACCTTTAACTCAAACCGCCTAAATATTGTGAATGGACTAATTATCTAGAACATTGCTAATTTCAAAATTATCTTGTTTAATGAGACATAATATTATATTTAATTTCTTCAAAATTACTTGCTGTACCTTAAGATTTCTAAAGGTCTATAATTTAGAACTACTTTCACCATTGTAATTAGTAATACCCCCGCCGCAGCAAACCTGCAGACTAAGCGAATTTCCATATGCCTGATTTGATTTTCAATTAAATCTATTCAAATACCTAACATTAGGTTTAACGAGTACCTAGGTTTGCTGCATACAGGGTAATAAAGTGTGTTTTTTAGTAAAATATTAATAGCTTAGTATAAAATAAATAGATTGGCCAAGTTTGATCCAAATATATGCATGAAAAAGCAAACTACAACAGTTTACTTATTCTCCATAAGAATAACATGGGATTTTTTTTATTTATAATTTTCTCCGTAACCAATAACCATACAAAAACACTTCAATATGCAGAATTATTTGTTTTTTAAGCTCTTCAAAATGGTCTAGAGAAAATTTGGGAAATTTCATGTTTTGAGGGTCAAAAATGAGAAAAACCAATTTTTACCCCATAAATCCCCCCATAAAACCCCGTTCCCATGGTCCGATCATGCTGGTTCACGAACTCGTTTGAAAAAACGTAGGTTTGCACGTTTGTACCAAATTTAATCGAAATCGGATCATTTTTGCTCGTTATCGTGCTGACGGACACACACACACACATATATATATATATATATGAATTTGAACGGATGGTGTTTTTGGCTTCTAGGGACATCAAAATGAAAAAGTAAATCGGTCCCGGGACTAAGTCTTACCATGAGACCTACGGTAATAGCCTATTCCCTATAGGGAAATTCGCTAAAAGGAAGGTTTATACAAGTATTTAGTCAAGTTTATAATATCTTCCAGTAAATTGTGTCTGTTTGTTTTATGCACACTAACCTTTCATATTTTACCTATAAATTAATTGATGTAGCTAGAATTAGATTTTCAAGCATCATTTAGTTAGCATGGATAAAATGTTAAGCATTTGCGGTAAATATACAAATTTCTCAAGCGATTCTGGTGTACAGCAATAATGAAAGCGTAATGGTAATAAATTTGTCAAGAGTAATGCTCGTAAAAAATCTATGCATCTCCAACTAGAGTTAGTGCTTGGTGCTCGCTCTGTACCGTAGTATCCCATGTGTTAAGTCGGGCACCAGAGGACGTTGCACAACTCTTGGCCACTTCCTTGCCGTTCCTTTCCTCCATTGTCATCCACCTCCAACTCATAACTGCCAATTTACCTCTGATATTTCGATCGCAGATCGGTTGGTATACTGGGAATTGGGAAAGGCGTGATAGAAGTAAGATTGTACCTCGAAATACAACTCTAGATAATTATTTGGATTCCTTAAATGTTCCAACTCGTCGTAATTGTGCAGTATTGTTTATATCTGTCACATTTCTTACGTCGATCTGAAGTAACCAACTGGGACGGTGGCGTCGTCCTGTTAGCTACTAGGACGTCACGAATTGTGGATATTTATAACAAGTTTGTTTCCTTAGTCTATGTTTATAGGCATGCACTGTGGATGCGATACTCCCTGGTGTGGATTTACGTCCGCACTAGTGAGTACGACTATCCACAGTGCTATCATGATAATTAGACAAATTCGTTGAATACAAGGCAAAAATGTGGTTCGGATTCCACTATTTGTAGGTCCCTTTAGTTGCCATTGGCTTTATGGGCTATTAATTAACAGCTGTGTTTAAAGAACATATCGGCATAGACTAAGCAACACAAGGGAGTATGATTTATCTATGATATCGGTCCTAGTCCAACAAGACTACAAGAACGCGTCACTCATTCTACACTCATCTGTTACTCATATTTGGGTTAAAATATGCACATAGTGGCTTCCCTATCTTAAAGTAAATAATTGATAATTGATAATGGATAGTATCAAATTGCGTTGGAGATCAATCTATGACAGTTTACCTTTGATATTTCGATTGTGGATTATTAGAAAACTGTTGAATGAAGAAAAGATGGATGTGTTTGATGTTCTCAAAAATCCACAATAAATTATTTTTACTCACGAAGGCAATTTAATACAATTTCGTTTGGAGCCTAGTATATAATAAAGTAGCTTTCTAAGTTAAAAAGACAACATCACTTACTTGAGTGGACCCTGTTGTCAAGCGTGGAAAAGTCTAACTAGAAACTAAGACTCCCGGTCTTAATGTTTTACCTTAGTTCAGAATACACTGGCAAGGGTTTTAGGTTATCCTTTAACCCAGCATTTGAGAATTGTGTCTCATAATATGCATTTGGGGAATTGTCTAATGTTGAAATTAAAGTGGCACCGCGCACGCTCTCTGGCTAGACAATTAGGCTATGCAGTACTTAGCACCGAAGAGGATAAATACCTCAAACCACTCGGGTATTTATAGTTTATGGGTTAGAAACCTTCTCATAGCAGAGATACGGGTGAACAAGTTAGGTTACTCAACAGAGCAGTAAACTTACCAGCTGATCATTAGTGAGCGACAAAGCCCAACAATTGGTGAGCGATGTTTTGTCCAGTAAAATGACATTTTGTGGCGACACATGACGCGTCCTTGAGTCTAACAGCTGACCCGCCGGACATTGTTGAACAGCTGATTTTGGTATGATGTACTTCCAACATTTGCTTTTAAATTCTAAATGTATTAATGCAGGATTTATATTTTAGAGTCCAGATGTACAAACTAATTCAGTTGTATTTTTTAAACCATCAAGGGACCATTTCGAGAAGAGTGCTGCCAAGTGACAGTTCAGATTCATCTCAAAGTGAGTTTTTCTTTAAGTCAAGGTTGAGTCAAGGGTTTGGATGTGTCTAGATGCATCCCAGTGGGATGAACTTGAGTGGAAGTCCAGAGGAATGTAGTTTATTGTGACGGTCAAAGTTCTTGCACATGATCAAAACTGTAAGGATCCTGTAAGAGGCAACAGTTCATGTCAAAGGTAATGGAAGTGGGAATTGCTTGACCGTCCCAGGTTCAAGTTCCAAGGAGTCGTCGTCATGCAAGACCCGGTCCAGTGGGAGTTTTTGACAATCCGCTTGTCCAGAGCAGTGCGATCTCGAGTGAAAGGCGGAACAAGACTGTCCTGGAATATTCACCATTCCCCAGTCTTGTGTTAGTATCACATCTGCTAATGATCTATCGACCAGTAGAGCGAGACCGTCTAGTTAGCCGTTGCGACAGTGTCTACCGTCCACGATAGTGTATCTCCCGATCGCACGATCAGCTGCTGGCGTCCGTGTAGCTCAAACAAACGTTCATTTCCGACCAGTGAAACTATAGAGCAAACATACAGATTGGTCAGACTCATGGGTCAGCTGAAGAAAATTTCAACGCCCGTCCAATTAGAGGACATTTTGCCGATTACTGTAATTGATTTTCTGAAATCAGCTGGTTTATTTGATGCAAGCACATGTTTTAATAGTAGGTAAACGGTTTATAATCTGTATAATGTGTACGTAGATAGAGGAGGCCATGAGATGAACTAGCCGAAATAGAATTCTCTACCATCAAAAATTCCAAAGGATCACAAAGGGTTCACAAAGGGTCTAAAGAACTTCAAATACCACGTTGAAGGATTGGTTATTTGAACTGGAAGTTCTTTCTCGAACCTTTGTCCGATGAAGAATGTTAGGGAATTACAAAAGCCACGCACGGGGTGAGATTCAATCGGAGATTATTTGCTTGGAAGTTACTTCCGAGTCCCCCCTTGAGGTTTAATGTTACCATATTAATAATAATTTGTTTTCGTTCATTTATTTCAGCCAAATCCCCTTTTTCTGGATACTGGGCGAATGCATCCTAGTGCTTTAAAGCTTGCAATAATTTGTACATTACAATGCTTTGCGTAGGCCTATTCTTATAGGCACTGCCAGTAGTGCCAGCAAAAACCAAACTACCAAATACCGTCCAAACCACATCTCTATTATTGTAGCTTTGTGAAACATCTTATTTAGTATTGTGTGTAGTAATTGTTAGAATGCCTGCAAGATAACCAACGCTTGACTCTGAGCGTACCTGTTAAAATATCTGTTTTAGTATTGTGTGTAGTGATTGTTAGAGCGCCTGCAAGATAACCAACGCTTAACTCTGAGCGTACCTGTAGCTATATTGACTCTGCAACGCCGTTGAAATATCTGTTTTAGTATTGTGTGTAGTGATTGTTAGAGCGCCTGCAAGATAACCAACGCTTAACTCTGAGCGTACCTGTAGCTATATTGACTCTGCAACGCCGCCGTAATCGTGGAGGCGCTGATTTGGCTAAATCTTATTGACATTGACTTTTGGAAACTGTAATGGACAACAAATAAATGTGGACCCACTGTAGCCCTTATTAAAACATAATTTAGTTTAATGCTATATAAACTGGAATTTTAAGACTTTTAGTAGTCTATCACTCTATTATCTCCATTAGTCGGCCTATTAAATGGAGGTAAGTTGAAATTGCTTAAGCTTACAATAAGACGTTTTTTGGTTTCGCTTGGCTAAAAAAACGTATTTAACAGATATCAGTACCTAATTTATATCAGCGCACTGTCGGTGACTCAAACTACGTTAAATTTTATTCC